AAAAAAAAAAAAAAAGCTGGGTCACAAAGAACATTTGGCCTCTATCTTGCTCTTTCTATCTTATCACTTGTAAAGCCAGTGGCCAGAGCACTCAAGGATCCTAGAAAGAGGACCATGTGCAAGGAACTCAGGCCTCTTGCTCACAGCCATGTGAGCCATCTTCAAAGCGAACCCCTGGCCCCAGTCCATCAGAGGACTGCAGGCATGGCCCACACCTGGACAGAATGCATGGAGAAACCCTGAGCCCAAACCACCCAGCTCAGTTACTTTGGACTCCCAACCCTCAGAAATGATGAAAATAATATGTCTGTCACTTTAATCAGCTAAGCGTGGTAGTGATTTGTTACACAACCACAGGTAACTGATATAGGTTCCCAACCTTGAATTTCATCACAAATGACCCCTATCCTAGCACCACAGCCTCAATATACACCAAGCAGGCAAAAGACTGGGGTGACTTAGGGCAATAAAAACAGGCCCAGACACAGAATGGCTCAGGCCTCATAGTCCTGAGGCCCAGGTGCTGTCTAAGCACACAGATCTGCCCCTCCATGAGTCTACAGTGAAGTTCAGAGTCAGCCTGAGTACTGTCTGAGAACCACCTCTTCCCTAGATAATTGCTAAAACAAATGTCCAGCTCCTTTTGTCCTGGCCCCTTTCATAGGTGTGTGACCTTACTCTGTGTCTTCAATAGGGCAGGTACATCAGAATACAACTCAACACATCTCATGTCATTAGAAAGAGTGAGTATCCAGATACAGGGAGGATATCTCAGATAGCACCAGACCTCTACAGAGAGGAAGGAAGTTGACAGATTCTATGGAAGCCCATAAGCAATGAGGGAAGGAGGTGTTCCAGACATGCGAGGCAGGGGAGAGCTACACTGGATAGCTGGTTAGACCTCCCAGAGTAAAGAGTCTCTGGGGTCTTCCCTATCCCTTTGGGCCAGCACAGTGATACAGGAGCCAGAGGTGTCTTTGCTGAAAAGGGGCAGGTGGAGTGAGATAGAAAGATGCAGATGAAAGAAGGCTTTGTGCAGAAGCCATCAGGTGTAGCCAAATCTGATGACTGGGAAGAGGAAGATACCTGGGACAGTGTTACAATGGGTCTTGAGACCATGGCAGCCCCCCAGCTTGCCAACTGGGAGCTTCTGCTGTCACCCAAGAGGAGCTGAATGCCCACCAGGCCCAGATCTTCTGCCACTTCCAGAAGCCCTGTGACCAAATGATAGACCTCAAGTGAGGACCAGCTGGACCCTCTCCAGAGCAGAACTCTTCTCCTTCCACTAACAGGGCTGCTCTCTCCAACAAGGTCCCAACACTGAGGGCCCAGATCACGCAGCAATAGCCACAACTCTCACCAGAGGATAGTAAATGAGATGGCTATGCTCAGACCACCTGCCTCCATGGCCAAGTCCAGCTCTTAAACACCTGTCTGGCACCTGCTTCTCTTCCTCCCCAGGCACCTTCCTCAAACACTCTGATAGCTGGTGCATACTTCCCCTC